GGATGGATGGATGGATGGATGAATGGATGGATGGATGGATGGATGGATGGACGGGTGGATGGATGGATGGATGGACGGACGGATGGACGGACGGATGGACAGACAGATGGACAGATGGACAGATTGAAAAATGGATGGACAGACAGATGGACAGATGGGTGGATGGATGGATGGATGGATGGATGGATGGATGATAGAACGATGGGTAGATAATGGGTGGATGGATGATAAATGGAGGAATGGGTAGATAGGTTGTAGACAAATGGATGAATAGGGAGAGAGGTGAATGGTGGATGTATAGATGGTGGATGGAGAGAAGGATGACTTATATGAGTGGATGGGTACATCAGTGGATAAATCAGAGGCTAGATGTGTGCATGGGTAGATGAGTGGATATAGGGTGGATGGACAGGTGGTGGATAGAGGGATGGACAGGTGGATAAACAGATAGACAGATACTAAAGTAGATGGGTGAGTGAGTGGATGTGTGAATGAGTGGCCATAGGTGGGTGGGTGGTAAATGAAGAGATGGATGAATGATTATGTGATAGGATGATATATAGGTGGGTGGAGGAGTGATTGGATATGTGAGTAGATAGATGAGTAGTATGTGAGTAGATGAGGATATGTGAGTAGATAGATGAGATACATAGGTAAATGGGTGGGTGGGTCACAGATGGATGATGAGCAGACCCTCAAAGGCTCCCAGTCCACTTGCATGGAGTATTTTACACATACAGGGACTTTTTTTTATTAACAGTAACCAGAATAGATATAAAAATGCTGTCCTGATGATAAAAGTGACGCCTGCAACATCATGAGATTCAGGGAATATAAAAACCCTCTCCAAGAGGCCTTCATACCAATTTTTTCCCAACACTCATGTGCTCAATTCTTCTTCTTTTTACCCTCCAAGTCAAATAAAGCATAAATCAGCCTTTAGCCTGTCATGCCTTCGGCAGATTTTCAAATCCTGAGTGCTGAGACTTTAAATTATTCTGTACCTAACTTGGTTAAGCGGCACCTGAGTCTAGCTAGGATAATCTGATTGTCAGAGAAACAGAGTGGACCTGACCCGCAAATGGTCCTGTGGATGCTGTGGCTGTCTGGGAGAGTGATGAGGGTAATCGAGAGCAGCTTTGAGGGATGACTGCTGTCCAGTGGAGTTCAAGCTCACGCCCTGTCATGAAACTCCCAGGTGGCCCTGCATCCTTATCAAAGGCACTCCAAAGGCAAACCTGGACCTTTCTTTCTTGTTCCCCACCCCCTTCTCTTGAAATCACATAGACTCACACCCACTGCTGTGCTCATGGCTATAGTTGGTGAAATATATAAAGATGACTTAAGAGAAAGACCCTCCACCAACCACGTCTTCCTATTTACCTTGAAATTCTGCCCTTAGCAATGCCTTCCTTTGCTCTGAGCACTGCCCCCATGTGGCCTGATCATGTCATTTAAAATCATAGTCAAATCATTTGCCACCAGGACCTAAATGACTCCCGTTTCTCAGGGACAGTACACAGACCAGAGAAGCATCTTTGGCAACACCCTCATCTCTGTGGGGTGGAGGCTGGCTAATTTTGACACTTGACACTCCAGAGAAAAAATGCAACATCACGGTGCGCCAGTTCAGACTAGGACATTCAGCCACGGCATCTTTGGGGACCAGCTCCTGGATTAGGCCATTGCATTTAATTGCTTCT